CCCTCACCCCCTCCCAACCCCCACCTGCAGGACCCCCAGGATCTCATCAAGGTCCAAGCGCTGCTGAGCGCCCGCCGCCACGCGGATGAGATGCGCCCCCTGGGGCCCCTCCGCGGGGAACCGCTCCCGTAGCCGCGCCCACTTGCCGCGCCAGAGCCGCCAGTAGCAGCGCGCCGCGTCGGGGCGCGCAAACGGCGCGCCGGGCAGCCGCTCGGGCAGCCGCAGCGCGGCTGCGGCGGCCGAGGAGCGCGGGCCGGGGGCGAGCGGCGCCAGGAGCCAGGGGGCGAAGGAGGCCGGGCCGATAGGGTGCGGCGGCGCCGCCTCTGCTGCGGCGGCCGCGACCTGCGTGGCCCGGGTGGCGGCGCACCGTCATCAAAGAGCGTTGGGCAGGGGGCGATGACGCGCGCCCACCACGCAGCGCCCCTCCAAGTAGAACCCCATTCTGGCATATGCGGAGGCGGCAGCAGCCACATTCGCATGCCCGGTCAGACGCAAAGCGACTCGCTTGCGGCCCACCTCTCGGACCCTCTCGTCTGCGGCCGCCTCCGCCGCCCGCAGCTCCGCCGCCGCCGCCACCGCCGCAGCCCTGGCGGCCCCCTCGCGCGCCTCCGCGCCCTCCACGCGCCCGCGCGCCAGCCGGACGCTCGAGCGCGCCTTCAGCGGCAGCGGGTCGCGCGCCTGCACCCCATCCGCCGCCTCCTCATCCTCCCCCTCGTCCCCGCCCACGCCGCCGCGTCGCGGCGAGAGGCCCGCTTGCTCCCGCGCCTCGTCCTCCGCTCGCACCAGCGCGCCACGCAAGCGCTCCGCCGCACGGAGCTCAGACTCTGCGGCGGCGGCCCTGTCGGCCGCATCCTCCCAGTCTGACAGCAGCGCATCGACCTGCGAGGGGCGTTCGGCCCGCGTGTGCGGGGCGCGCACGAGGCCGTTGTAGCTCAGAAGGCACCCTTGTTGTGCCCGGGGCTGGCGGATGGGAGACGCGGAGCCCAACCCCCAGTGAAAGCGCCACGGGGGGCCGCAGAGCGCCACCCAGAGCCCCACCACCACCACCACCATCACACACACACACCCCACTCGGCCGCGACCACAGCAGATCTGCTGGGCTGCCGTCAAGCAGCAGCGGTGCAAACTCCTCGCACCAACAGCACGCAGATCGCACCTCCTGGAAGGCTGAGCTGGCGGCGTCGTCCTCCGCGCTGCCCTGCGCGAGCCCGTCATACTCCTCCCCCCGCCAGAACGGCCCCGCGCCGCTCGTGCCGTCGTCGGGCATGGCCAGCATGATGAGATCCGGGAGCAGCGCCCAGGCGCCCGGCGGGGCCGCCGCACGCGCCTCCGCCCGCGACGCCGGCCGGCCCCGAGGCTCCTCGCCGCCGGGGCCGCCGGCGTCGCCCTCCTCGTCCTCATCCCACGCGCCGGCCAGCCGCCGCCGCTCCGCCGCGCGCGCGGCCGCGGCGGCGCGGCACGGGGCGCCGTCGGGGTCGCCGGGCGCAAAGTACCGCCACGTCGGCGTCCCAGGCCGGCCAACGCCGCCGCCGCCGGGGGCGTCGGGGGCGCCCGTCCGCAGGTGTGCTGCCGCCTGCGGGGAGAGTGGCGCGGGCGCGGATGAGAGGCAGTCGGCTCGCCGCGCGTCGCGGGCACGGGGCAGCCTGCGCAGACAGGCGACGATGCGCGCGGCCCGCACCCCGGGCTCTTGAACCCTAGAACAGATTTCAACTCTAAACCCTGTGACCCGCGCCTGCAGCACTGCGGCGCCCTCCACTGTGTTGGAGACGTCCAGGATAGCCGCGAGGCTCCGTGGCGGCAGCTGCTGCAGGAAAGCTCGGAGGTCGCGAGCGTACGCCTGCCCAGGCACATCCGTTGAGAGAGGGTGAGGGGCCCCACCGCGTTCGGTGCGCTTTCCTAGGCTTCAGGCGCAGAACCGCAAACCGGCAATCGAGGACTGGCCACGCTGAACCCATGCGAGCAGGGCGTGCCGCCCTCAGCCCAAAATCGGAAGCAGGCGTCGGTCGCTCCGCGGCGGTTGACCTAAGATATGCACAGCGGTGGTGCGCGCCTTTTGCCCAGCCCCTGCCCCTGCCCCCGCCCCTCACCGCCGCCGCGCCCTCCTTCCCGGCGCCGCCCGCGTCCTGCCGGCCCCCGCGCGCCGCGCCGCCGGGCTGCAGTTGGTGCGCCTCCTTGCAGCGCCACTGGTTGAAGCGGCAGGAGTAGGCGCGCCGGCACTTGTGGCACGCAAACGAGGGCGGAGACGAGGGCCGCGGAGAGTCCTCCTGCAGTGGGCACGTGGAGGGGACCAGTGATGAGGACTTACGGGTTAGCAAGGGAGGGATGCTTCATGACATCATCCATAAGTCATCGAGGCGCATGTGCGGCCGTGCAGATGAAAGATTAGGCAGTCAGAGCCGGCTCTGCTGAGGGCGGGGCTTGACGGGTGCGACCCACCCGCTCAACGGCGTCCGCGTCGGACTCCAGCAGGCGCGACTTGAGCTTCTCTCGCTCCCGCGCCGCCTCCGCCGCGGCGGCCGACTTCTGCTGCCGAGAGGGCGCCGCCGCGGCCACCGCCGCGGGCTTGGGCTTGGGCTTGCCGCCACCCGCGTCTGCGGCCCGCGCCGCTGGCGCCGGCGCGCGCGGCGCGAGGCCGGCGCCCTCGTGGCTGCAACCACGCGGAGAGGCGGCCGCGCCCGCGCCCGCCGGCTGGCGTCGTTCGTCGGCGTGCCCAGACGGGCCGGCAGGATGCTGCCCTGCGCGGCCCATGCC